AAGTTGGTAGTGGATTCTGTTGACTCACCTACAAGTAGCCCAAGTTGGTAGTGGATTCTGTTGACTCACCTACAAGTAGCCCAAGTTGGTAGTGGATTCTGTTGACTCACCTACAAGTAGCCCAAGTTGGTAGTGGATTCTGTTGGCTCACCTACAAGTAGCCCAAGTTGGTAGTGGATTCTGTTGACTCACCTACAAGTAGCCCAAGTTGATAGCGGATTCTGTTGACTCACCTACCCTGTTGTATCAGTTGAAAATGGATGACTATGTGGAGATAATCCTGTAGAGTTATGAGTGAAAGGTCTTAGACAAACATTCTATCTATAGTTTTTAAGAAATGTATTGTAGTGAAGGAGCACTATGGGGTATTTCTGCTCATTAGTTCGGCTCACTAGTCAGGATTTAACAAAACACTGATAAAGAAAAGTAAATCAATCACATTTCTCATCTTTAACAAGAAAAAAATCATTAATAATAAAGCATGTCCAAATTCTCCCTTACAAAGTAAACCATGTCTTAACATGGAAATATTATTACTTCAAGCGTAAATTTCATTTAAATCCTTTTATGTTTGTAAATGTAATATGAATTATATTATTATAGGCTGCTATTTTGTGTTTATAAACCTATGAAATAAGTTATGCCATTAAAACCTGCTGTTTTTTATTTATAAATCTAAACTACTCAATAAGTTAGATTATCGTAGCTTATTATTTTCTATACAACAACCTCAATCATGATTTAATAGGAAATATTATTAATTCAAACGTAAGCTCCAGTAACAGTTTTGCAGCTAAGAATGTATTTGAGCAATTAAGTTAGATAAATCAAACATCCTAATTTCTATCAATGAACTTCATTACTCAAATCTCCTACACTTGCTATCCTAATCTATTGAACCAAGAATATTTACAAAAAGTTTAGTTTTCAATTTACCAAATGGCGAGAAAATTAATTATGTTTTGTATAATTGATACTTGAAACCATCGTTACTTGATGAAATCTAAGATTTCATTCTGTACCTGATGATGTCTTTACTGGCGAAACCATGGTCATGAATAAATGACGTGTTTGTGAAACATACAATTGTTTTGTTTTTCCTCAATTCTGTTTTATTTTTTGGCTTTATTCCCAAAGATGATTTGGTAATTCTACAAGTAAATAATATTTTAGTGAAAGCCCATATATATATATATATCATTTTTTAACTCAATCAATGACATAAATGTTATTTAAAGCTCAGATTATTAATTTAAAGTATTAATACAAGTTTAATAAAAATAATGCTATTTTAAAATGGGTAAACTTTATCAATCTTGTTTTTCTTCTCTCTAACGCCATCTGATCTGAATTTTGATAATTCTTTATTTTCTGCAAACAATACAGCATTTACAAAATGTCAAATCTTTACATGGGTGGTATATTGAATGTGTAAATTTCACTAAGCAACATGCTCATTGACAGTTCTTTTTATTATTTTAATATTACTTTACTGACAAATATTCTGGTGATGTGTGGTTAAACTTTCTATCTGAGAACTTTGAGAAATATTTACACCTTAACACTGTGTACTAGTGTTCAGAAATTTTCATTAATTAGCTCTTCATGAATTAGAGGAAAGTTTGATTATTTAAGTAGTTTTTATAATTGAAGATCCAAATTATAAGTAAAATACAGTTGATATCTAGGCCTTTGAAGTCATGATTTTAACACCTAAAATTTTAATGTATCACTGAATTTCATTCCCCAAGTTTCAGAGCAGATGGACATGTGGAATAATAAGAACTGATTTTTGCTTTCCAGGCGTGTTCTAGTGAAGTGATGATGTTACGAACAGCTCGGAAGTATGACGGAAAGACGGACTCGATTGTATTTGCTAACAATCAACCGTATACAAGAGAGAACTATCGTAGTGCTAGCGTTGGAGATTCGGCTGATGCCCTCTTCACCTTTTGTCGAAAGATGTGTCTTTTGAAAGTTACCAATGCAGAATATGCTCTGCTTACAGCTATTGTTATCTTTTCAGGTAAGAATAGATATCAACACCGTTAAGGATCTGAAGGTTTCTTTTGTTGTACATTTGTAGGATGATATTAAGATGTAAAATTATTTAATTTGTGTGGTGCAAGCAGTGATTACAGTGTTGGCTACTATAAATGACTGTAGGCTACTAATAGCATAACAAAAGAAACTTGATAACTTGTGTCCTATTGGAAAATGTACTTTTCTTCGGAAAGAGTCCAGCTTAACTGTTTTCTGTTGATCCTACGTACTTTTGAGCATGATGTATGTAGTAATATTTTCATCCACCAGTTTTAAATGAACAGCACAATAATGCCCTTTGAAATTTCCTTATAACTTAGTCAGAAATAAGTGACACAGGAAAAGAAAAGGGTATCGGCGTTACTACACTAAATTTATGATAAGCCATAAGGATATGAATCCTTTTGTTTTATTGCCATAAGTATTTATTTTAAAGCTCGTGCAAGGAAGGCAAATAGTGTTTTCAGTTGCCTTAATTTGATAATTAATTTTTAAAGAAGAGAGAACTGTGCTGTTTTATAACAGCAGAGATGAGACATTCTTTTCTTAACCTTTTCAATTCAAAGTAAATGTTGAGTGACACACTTTTATTTCATTGTTTTTCTTGATTCTAAACAAGAACTTTAATAATAAAAGCTTACTTATCTCTACATATTTTGAGAAAATTTACAATCCATAATGCTGTGAACATAAAACAAGAGAGCTTATTGTGTTTATTTATGATTATTTTTTTTGCTCTGAAATTGGACAACATTTTTTTCCTACAGTTAATTGTACTATTGTTTCTTCACACTTACAGAGCGTCCTTACTTACTGGAACCCATTAAAGTAGAAAAAATTCAGGAATTTTACATTGACGCTCTTAAGGCATATGTGGATAACTACCGTCCTCCTGGGAAAAACTACTTTGCTAAGTTATTATCTGTTCTCACTGAGCTCCGAACTCTGGGTAACATGAACTCAGAGATGTGTTTTTCCCTCAAGGTTCAAAACAAGAAGCTGCCTGCTTTTTTAGCAGAGATCTGGGATGTCATGGAGTAAATGTTTCTATCGATCAAAACATTCAAGTCATTCCGTGAAGATCTGGGATGTCATGGAGTTAATTTTTCTATCCATCAAAAGTCATTCCGTGAAGAGTAGTTACTCGTACATCATGTTCTGTCATTGCAGTCCAAGCTGTTGCCTTTGTTCCACATTTGCTAATCCTTGATATTATACATTATAAAACTAGCTTCCAGTACTGGTGCTCCAGTTGTCTTTTACACTACGTTTATAGGTAATATCACCAAACCACTGTTAGATGGTGGTTAGGCAACACATCAGAAAAAGCCTTCTGTTTCTTGAAGTAAAGGTTGTGATTTTGTCGTTTGACAAAGCATGAGGTTCTAAACTTATTTTCTAGAAGAACCATAGTTCTAAAGGCAACGCACAAGAGATGTAAGCAGAAGTGTAAATTCAGCCTGACCACTCACTTGCCTGAAGTATTCACCCGATTTGTTACTGGTGCCCTCGTAACAACAGGTGGTAATTTATAGAATAAGTGGATCAGTTGTGTTTTGTATTAACAAACTTTCTGTCAGTCTGATGATGCTTATCCATAGGGTCACCACTATCATCATCATCTTCGTCATAAGGTTTTAGCTATGTCGAACTTTTGAGACTCACTCTTAATGGCTGGTCCCAGGATGAGATCCGATCAAAGAATATTTTCAATTGCAGCACATGAAGAGATGAACATAACTCACATTTTTGAGCCCAGTTGCATGCTTAGGTTTTAGAAAACCTTTTGATACAGTGAAGTATATAATTCTGAAACAGGATATTTGAACTTGAGTTATCTTGTGATTGAAGTTATTAATGAAATTCCCATTGTAATGTCACCACAACTTTCATTGTTGTTTCTGCGATTTTGAGAAAAAGTACTTTTATATAATTAAGCTAGCTTGTTTTTTGAATGTCATTCAGTGCTGATATAGAAGTATTGTAATTTGTATTTGCTTCTGACAGAGAAATGTTTCTTCCAAGTTTTGTTACAGGACAGTGATTTATGTCTTCAGTTGTTATCATAAGTGTAAATATACGAGCTAGTTGTTAAGGGATATTTCTAGTGGAATGTTTATTGAAGTAGAACTAGCACCAATGATGTTGAAACCCAAGCTTTAGAACTTATATGAAGTTTTCTTTGTTTTAATAGCTTAAAAGTAGCAATAAAACTTACAGATTTCAAAGTGTTTTATTTTGTACCTAATTTTATATCGTGAATGAGTTACTAAAATTAAGAATGAAAAAAAACGAGTGGAATATGACTAAGAATATATGCTAGATATTTTAAAAGATGCACCATGAAAATATCAGAAACGTTCGTGGCTAAACAAATGTATATTATGGTGAATGAGTTACTAAAATTAATAATGAAAAAAACGAGTGGAATATGACTAAGAATATACGCTAGATATTTTAAAAGATGCACCATGAATATTAGAAACGTTCGTGGCTAAACAAATGTATATTATGATTCAGATTCTGTCTACCAGTATTACCGTACATGTTTTTTTTCTTGCAGTCTTGTCCTTCAAGAAAATATCATAATTGAATAAAATTACCAGTGGATAATATTTGTGAAAGACATAATATGTAACCTAATGTGTTATAGTAAATAATATGAAGTTTAGTACTTGAATTGTTTACCAACCATACAGTGGTAAATGTAGACATTTCTTCAAGAGAACTTCATTGGCGTGGTATATTAATAGAAAAGCTGACACCAGAGGCTTTGAGGAAAGTATTTATTGTTTTTTGATCTAACGAGATCTCACTGTGATAAAGTGATAAAACAAACGAACTTCGGTACAAACAAAAAAGTGTTTTTGATCTGATATATTTAATAGGTGATGGATATAACTAGTAGTCTTGTTGAGATGTTATTTTTTACTACTAAAAAAATTAAAACTCGATAAACGACCAAGATCTTCTATAAAGAGCTGAGTTCTCTCCTCTTCCTTGCTGGGTTGGCTGAACTTTATACGGTGTGTATCAACTACCAGGTTTGTGTACTTAAAGGTTAATAAGATGTTATATACTGTTAATTATTTTGAGAATTTATTGTTTTGTTGTTGGTCTTTCAGTACTTTATGAAGCAAAATAACGAAAGCAAAGATGAAAAACGAAATTGGTAGATTACTACCTAATAATTAAGCAGGGTAAAAGTCAACCAGTTAAAACAGAAAACTGGGTACTAAGGAAAAACAGGGTAACAATCACACAGGTTTGAATAAAAATGGTTACCAAAGTTATAGTGAGTAAGAAAAACTATATAGACAAGACATATTGATGGAGAGAAGGAATGAGCTTACAGTTTGAGGAGGATGTTGAAAATATCTCAAAATGAGGAGCAGATTTGTGAGAAACTTTTCATTTAAACTCTGAAGCCAGATATAAACCAGTGAAAGTTATTTCTACTTCTCATCTATTCATTAGCTCATTCTTTCCTTTTGTTTTACTGTTTCTCTTTAAGCTGGTTCTTTTTGTAAGATGTGATTAAAACTTTGAAGTTGGCTATAAATCGACATAATCTGTTTTACTGTTTCTCTTTAAGCTGGTTCTTTTTGTAAGATGTGATTAAAACTTTTAAGTTGGCTATAAATCAACATAATCTGTTTTATGTTTCTCATTAGATCATAAGCTGGTTCCTTTTGTAAGATGGGATTAAAACTTTGAAGTTGGCTATAAATCGACATAATCTGTTTTACTGTTTCTCTTTAAACTGGTTTTTTTTGTAAGATGGGATTAAAACTTTGAAGTTGGCTATAAATCGACATAATCTGTTTTACTGTTTCTCTTTAAGCTAGTTCCTTTTGTAAGATGGGATTAAAACTTTGAAGTTGGCTATAAATCGACATAATCTGTTTTACTATTTCTCTTTAGATCATAAGCTGGTTCTTTTTGTAAGATGGGATTAAAACTTTGAAGTTGGCTATAAATCGACATAATCTGTTTTACTGTTTCTCTTTAGATCATAAGCTGTTTCTTT